TCACCCGGAGTAGTTCCCTCATGCCCATCTGTCCCCCCAGACTGTTTCTTATTTATTCTAAGTTTTTGAGCACCCACTGTGTAGCAGGCTCTGTGCTGGGTCTCAGCTACAGAAACAAAGCTGACGGTAAATTCCTGACTTTAGGGTTTATACCAGACAGGAAGAGACAATAAACAGGAAGAGACAATAAACAAGTAAATAAACAAGATCATCATAGAGGCAGTTAAGTGCTACGTAGCAAGCAGGGTTATGTGGTAGCTGGTAGCTGGTGGACTATTTCCATACAAAGGGCAGGTGCTAAATTGGCATCCTTGCCATTTAAAATTCACAACAAACTCTGCAAGTTAGCTAAAATCCCCATTGAATGGACACGGAATTTGAGGCTCAGAGAGGCTAAGGAACTTGCTCAAGGTCACACAGCAAGTGAATGGGAAAACAAGGATTCAAGCCCAAGTCAGCAGACACCAAAAGCTCACAGCAAAAGCTTGTGTTTTTTTCATCACACCACACAGCCTCTCTCTTGGGCCCTGTACATCTCTGCTGGAGCAGCAGGGGAGTTGGAGACATAGGGGTTCAGGGATGTGAGGTCTGGGTCACCTGCTGCTCTGCAACCATAACAATGTATCCAAGAGTCCTACAACCAGCCAAGGGCACTGCAGTGACCTCGCTCTCCTGTCACCCCTCCCTCCTCCTCTAATTGAGATGTCAGCCTTCTGCCTCATTCCCTCCTGTCCTGGACACCTGGCATCAGGGCTCTCAGCAGAGACAGCTGATCTCCCCTGCGCCTCCCCAGCCTCCTCCATCATGAAGACATAAAGCGAGGTTATGTCAGACAGACGAGTGTGCACTCTCTCAGCCCCCCTTTTCTTCTCTTTCCTCTCTCCTTTTCCCTCTTCTCCCTTCTGCCCTCTACCTCCCTCCTCTTTTCCCTCCATGCCCCCCTTTCTCCCTCCATCTGCCTCCTGCATGCCTTGAGAAGAAAAGCCCAATTAATCTTGCTGCCACCACCTCCGCTAAGCCACGCACTGGTCCACAGGCACAGACATCCTTACCAGGACTGCCTGAGCTGTCCCTGGAAACCAGGGCTCATTGGTAAAAGATCACATTCGTTTCTCCACAGCCTGAACACTCCAAAGGAGGCTCTGCCAAGCCAAGCCAAGATTTCCACCCTGATCCATCAATCACCAAGGAGACCGCTGGTGTCACCTGTCACCCAGAGGGTGACATTCAGACCTGCTGCTTCTGCCTTGACATGTGGGCTCGGCTGATGAGCATCGCTGTCCCCACCACACACACACTCTCCAGCACCGCAAACAGTGGAGTGCTCTGCTGGGCATGCTGCACGGTTACTTTATTTTTGTCATTTCACATAAATATCTTACCTAAAAAGAGATCATGCAGGTCTTTTATCCTGAGGGAGTAGGTCAGATCCCTGCTTCCTTTACGCAAGTGACGTGTTCCAGAAAAGTTGAGGATCAATGAGATTTTTGCATGTTAAACTACCCTTTAAGTCGAACATAGGCAAGGCTTGCAAATTAACATGCAGCAAATCTCTGAACCTCGGTTTCCTCGTAAGAAAAATGGGTTTAATCATGTTTGCCCCAGCTAGCTTGCAGGGCTGTTAAGAGAACCGGGGAATGAAATTTTAATTTTGTGGATGTACTTTGCAAATTGCAAAGCACTTTATTCCATCAAAGTAATGTTGTTGTTAAAAGAAAGATGTAGTTGGCCAAGTAAATTACCACCTCCAAACAGAAATTCTGCGATAATCTAATTTGCATACATTTGGTTGGCTAAGATGAAGATTACATGTTTTTCAAATCCAGGCAGGCAGGGAGGGCGTCTCACTAAACCTTGTGAGACTTGAGGAGCACTTTGTGGTTGCCCCTGGCTATGACTTGCTATCGGCAGTAAAAAGCAACCTGTCTGAAGATGTCTACTAAAATCTTAATTTCAGGGCACCAGCTAACCTTGAGACCCCAGTCCCTCTCCACCCTGCTCAATCTGAAATCAATCTGAATCTTTTTTTTCTCTTCATTAACCCTTTATTACAAGTCACGTGCTTATAGAAGTATAGGTGGACTTACGTGAAAAAATCAAATGTATCCAAGAATAAAAAACACAGCACAGAAAGTGCTATATGCATTTCAGTGTTCACGCCGGAGACAGCGGGCGCCCAGGAAAAAGCTCTGAAATAAGAGCATGAGAATGAAGGAAAATCCCTATAGCCTCTTGAGGTGTGGCCCCTGGTGTCTTGGAATGTTCTCCATCCCAAACACATGGGGAGTTGTAGGGCCAGACGGATACGTGTGTGGGGTTCCCCACCCAAGGGAGAAGCGGCTCGCTGCATAGAGGTCCTCTCTTTGCACACAACATTTTGAGGCAAAATGGAAAGATTGCCACTTGGGAGGGAATTTTATTCAAATAACACCACTAAATAGCAAGATTTATGGCACATCTTTCTGGGAAAATGCTCGGCAGCAATCAGAGGCCTGTCTGTGTTCCTGCCCCCTTGGGATGCCTGCAGATACAGTCATAGCTTAACTACGAGAATATATGACAAGTGCAATGGAGAGAGTGGTTTATAAATTATTTTCTGACGCTGTTTATGGAGGATGAGACCACAGTTGGGATGGGTGGCGGCAGGATGCGAGATGAATGGTGGATGTGGCCTCACCAGACATTTCAAAGACCTTGGGACACAGCTTTCCTCTCGGAGAGAGACCAGTATCAACTCATCAGTCAATACATCTTTACTCAGTGTCTCTTCCAGGCAAATCATCCTCCGAGGAGATGCAGAGGAGACTCCAAAGTATTTCCAATATAGAACAAGAGCTCTCATTTTAGTTGGAAAGATAAGATGTTCTCAGGGATAAAGATAAGGGCCCAGAAGATAAATAGGAGGAAGTTAACACTATCCAACCTCCTGCCGAGATGGAGGCACTTAAATTACATTATCCCGTTTGATCATCATCACCACCAGGTAACATCTTCATCCCATTTTATGGATGAGAATACTGAGAGCAGAGAGGTTAAGGTTCAAGGTCCCACAGCTGGCAAGTGGCAATCAAATGTTCGTTCTTAGTCTGCTTAATTCCAATGGAGCCAGAATAAAGTGAAGTTTTCAGATTGCCCTCCCTATTGATTTTGCCAGGGATAAGCACCAATTTAGAAAAACAAAATAACATTTGGCTGTACTTCCTCTTACTCAATTCACTGAGGGGGGGCCTGAAGAACTACTCACTCTAGGTCTGAAGCTTTAACGTCCTTTTCTGTTGATAAACTGTATTTCTAAATAAATAATTCTTCTTGTCCATTTGCGTTTCCCTGGCCAGATCTCTGTCTCTTTCCTGGCTGAATACTCCCTTCCCCCACTGACATCTTCCCACATTCCTTTAGCTTCCCTCTCTCTCTCTTTCCCTCCCCTCACGCACACGCAAATTCAGACACACACCTTCCCACCACACACCCATATGCAAAATAAAATTAGAAATACCACCCGACTCTCAAGGTATTTAGGGAATGGAGATCTTCAATCAATACAGCCCAAACCCAACACTCCAGGCTCCCTCCCTCCCAAGCCAGTGTGAGAGGCAGGCAGAGCTTGTGAAAAGGGCCCAGACAGCCATGATCTTGACTCAAAACAGCTCTAAAGGGCAAAAGGCCATTTGTGCTTCCTGTGTCTGTTCTGTGGCCACTGGAACTCACAGGGCTACCAGATTCCCCAGGGGCCAACATCTGGCAAGCAGGTTCTTTTGCTCCTATGCAACACCCTTTCAGAACATGAAAAGGTTTCCTGGCCCCCTTTTTCTTTTGATGTATGCTGATAAAATACAGAGAAAACAAAATATGTTTTGTTCATATTCAAAAATACAGGCTGAGCTGATAAGCATATGGTCCTTATTTCAAGGGATTGCTCTTGTTTTAATCAACCAGTTGAGAAAGCAATAAACGGTTATTTATGATGTTTGCCTTCATCCAGAGGAATGAAACAGGGCAGGTGGGTGAGTTATGACAGCCCAGGAAACAGAGGAAGTGGTGTCACCAATATTCCTGCAGTGTTTCTAAAGCTCTCTCTGCTCCACCCCACCCCCATTCGACACACACTGGCCAAGTGTCCCCACCCTCTTAGCACCTCTCAGTACCCACCTCAGAATAGTGAGGTAGGGAAGAGGAAGGAAATAGGAATAGGGAGGTGGGGGTGGGATTCCAGGCAGAAGCTCCTAGTTCAAGCTCTGTATCTGGATAAAACCCTCTGTTGTCCTCCCATCTCCCAAATCAGAGCTCCCCCTGGTCTCAGCGGGTTGTGTCGAGGCTGAGAGCAGGTGCATTTGTTCAAATCCAGGCTCTGTCACTTACCCGCTGCATGACCTTGGACATGTGACTTAGCTCCTCTTTGCCTCAACCTCCTCATCCACGCGATGGGGATCATCAAGCTTCTGCTGAGAGGATTAAAAAAACTGCCTTATGCTAAAGGCTTAGCACAGTGCCTGGTACACAGGAAGGGCTCAATTAATGGTGCCAATAATTATGAACTAATACTCGAATAGCGCTTACCACGGGCAGGCCCTGTTTAAGGGCTTTACATAGATTGTCACATAATCCTCCCATCTCTGTTTTACAGATGAGGAAACTGGAATCTGAAGATCATACAGCAGTGAACGTTGGATATTCAGACCCAGGCAGACAGCCTCCAGAGTCGGGGCTCTCAACCCCTCTGTGCACAATGACGCTGATCTTTATGGGTGTTGCCCGTGGCAAGCGAGGCTCTCAAACCCCCAGGCTTCCCTCGGTCTGAGAGCAGAGAGCAGGGAGGGTTGTCAGCCACAGCGGGGAAGGAAGGAGCAGAAGATGGCTAGAGCATCCACACTAGGGCCGAACCCAGATCCTACAGTTGGAACTGGTGGCTGAAGTCAGGCAGGGCGCCCCAGCCCGCTGCTGGGGAATGAGGGGAGGGGAGGCAAGTCCGCGACACCGAGAGGGGTGGCCAGAGCGCCGCCCCCAGGAGGGGAGGGGGGGTGGCGGGGTTGGGGGGGTGCCCAGCTGCCATCCCCGCCGCCTCCTGGCCCCCACTAGCTGGCGCCCAAGTGGGAGGACGGCAGCTGCCCGCTCCCTCCTCCCCACACCCCCGCTACCTGCCCAGTCCCCGAAGCGAAGCGTGAGGAGGCTGTGAGCCAGCGGGGCCGAGCCCACAACTTTGCAGCCTCGGGGAGGGTGAGAGCCGGCGTCCAGGGCTCCTCTTGTCCGCGGCCAGAGCTCGGTGAGTTCGTTTCCCCACCCCTCTGCGGCGATGCGGCGGCAGCGGCGCGGGGGGCGGCTTCCCGGGCGTCCGGGAGGCGGTGGCCAAGAAGCCGGCGGCCGGCGGCGCCGCCTGCCTCCTAGGGCTCCGGCTGTGCCGCCCCCCGCCGCGGGCGAGGCCGGCGCCAGTGCTGAACGGACAGCTCTCCGCGTCCCGGGTCGCTCGGGGGGTCTCTGCTGCCCCTTCTCCGGCGCAGGGCCGGGGCTGCGGCTGCCCGCCGAGCGCCTCTCACTCCCCGAGCCCATGTCCTTCGCCTTCCAGGCGCCGCGGCGCATCTGGAGGCTGCTCCCGCGCCCCCCTGGCGACCAGCGTGGGGAAGACACTTGCTTCGCCGGAGCCCGGGGCCGAGGGCTCTCTGGGGTGGGCAGCACCGCCGCAGCCCCGGGAAGCGCACGGCCGGGGCGGTACCGAGCCCCCAGCGACCACCCCCGGGCGTGCCCTGCGCTGAGCCGCAGCTGCGGAGAGAGGCTCGCGCTCCCCACGGTGGCCGCGGGTCCCCGGGGGCACTGGCACCCGCAAAGGGGACTCCAAGGTGATCAGTCGCCCAATCGAGACGGGACAGCCCGGACGGAGGCCTCGTGGCATTCGCCCATCCTGGTTGCAGCCTCCTTCCCAGAACTTTTCTGCGCCTCGGGCTCACAGACTCATTAGCCCCTGGAAAAGTTCTCTCGGGCGCCAGAATCCTATTTCCCGGTGGCTGCGGAAGCCTGGCAGGCATCAGCGCTGTGGGGGGCGGGGTGGAGTGGGGATGCGGTGGGGGCTGCGTCTAGCGGCGGGGGTCGATCCGCCGAAAGGCTGGCCAAGCACCCAGTCCTGCGTCCAGGGCGGGCTTGTTGGCATCTAAAGGGTTTCGGCGCCATCGGGGTTGTTTGGGTTTCTCGCTCCAGGGGGGCGGTAGGCGGGCGCGAAGGGGGGATTTTAATTTTGTCGCCTCAAATGAAAACGCTCTTTGCAAAGAAATAGCCTGGGCAACCAGCCTCGGAGAGATGGGCTGACCAGGACCGGCTGACACAAGTGTTTCAGCTGCCCCCTCCCACCCCATCCGGTGCCTGAACGCGTGTGTGAATGTATTGATTGTTTTAACTGATTTTTTTAGAAAAGCCAAGTGGCAGCGGTTGGGTTTGTGTACACACAGATATACACATACACAAACACAGATACCCAGGCGCACACAGATTACACGTACAGTCACACAAAAGGAAACCCCCGCAACACACACACATACACACATCACGGACCCACAAGCACACAAACCTCCAAAGAGCCTGGGGTACCAGATGAGGTCCCTGAGTACGCCCGAAATGGGGGGGGGGGGCAGGGGGCGAAGAAAGGGGAAGTGAAGCCAGACTTCCAGTGGTCATTTCTCTCTGCCCCCACCCCAAATCCTCCGCTTTCTCCTCCTGGGGAATCTGAAGGAGAAATCCCAAAGCTGGTTTGTTTCCACTGCCATAAAGGAGCGGAGCCCTAGCCCCTCGTTCCCCACTGCAGACTGCGAACAAGCCCGGACCTTCGCCCTCCTTGTGCCTGACCCCGGGGCGCCAGGGCACCGAGGTGGCTCAAAACCCAGGGAGCAGGCACCGGGAGGTAGAGCCTGGTCCCCAGGGGCCGTTGCGGTCTCGGGGTCTCACGCCTGCTTGGTCCCAGATCAAGGAAGAGAGGAGGGGTGATCCGAGGAACAGGGGTGGGGAGCACGGATTCGCGTGGAGCGGGACCGAGAGACAGCGCCGGAGGAGCGCCCTAGGGCGCCCCCTGGACACGGCGGTAAGTCTTTCCTCTCCCCTGGGCCCTTAGGAATGTAATTGAGGATGCTGGCCCTGAGGCTGCTCAACGTGGTGGCCCCCGCCTACTTCCTGTGCATCTCCCTGGTGACCTTCGCGCTGCAGCTCTTCCTCTTCCTGCCCAGCATGCGCGAGGACCCCGCGGCCGCCCCGCTCTTCTCGCCCGCGCTGCTCCACGGGGCGCTCTTCCTGTTCCTCTCAACCAACGCCCTGGGCAATTACGTCCTGGTCATCCAGAACTCCCCGGACGACCTGGACGCCTGCCAGGGGGCCTCGGCCAAGAGGGCTCCATGTCCCCCGCCCAGCACCCACTTCTGCCGAGTGTGCGCCAGAGTCACCCTGAGGCACGACCATCACTGTTTCTTCACCGGCAACTGCATCGGCAGCAGGAACATGCGCAACTTCGTCCTGTTCTGCCTCTACACCTCCCTTGCCTGCCTCTACTCCATGGTGGCCGGCGTGGCCTACATCTCCGCCGTCCTTTCCATCTCCTTCGCCCACCCCCTGGCCTTCCTCACGCTCCTTCCCACCTCCATCAGCCAGTTCTTCTCCGGTGAGTGGGCCTTGGCAGGCAGGTTGACTCCCCCACCCCAACTCCAAGTTTGCCAGATGTAGCAGATAAAGGATGCCCGGTTATATAGTAATTCCAGATAAACAATACATAACTTTTTAGTATAAGTATGTCCTACATATTGCATGGGACATACTTATACTAAAAAAATTTATTGTTATCTGTCTGAAATTCAAATTAACTAGGCATGCTATATTTTATCTGGCAACTTCCCTTCCTCCCCCCACCCATCCTCTTTCATCATCTCCTCCTTGCTCACCATGGACCATTTGGTCATAGAATTGTGGCGATCCAGACAGTACACCTGCTCTGTGTTAGGTAGGGCTGGCCACCTCTCCATGCAGCCTGTGACGTACACCCATGCTATGACCTTCCTCTGCCTGGCCCCCAATCCTGCTCATACATCCCCCCAAGGACTTTCCCTCCAAAGGTCTTGCCAACCAACCACAATAAGGTTGACCAGAGTGCCAGGCCAGCCCCGGCAGAAGGCTAAACCCTGCCCTCCTGCCCCCTCTGTCTGAGCCCACCAGGCTGTTCTCCAGCCTGCAGATGGCTCAGAGTTGGGGACCCTGGTTGGAGATGCAGCCATATTTAGTGGCTCCATCTTCAGACACAGAGCCGGGGGACTGGTATGAGATCTGATCCCCCAGGAGTCTCTTCCACCTGCAGAAGCCAGGCACGTGGGTCTTCACACTGGCACTCAGTGGGCACCTTGGTGAGGACTGTACTTTATGTAATGTGCCCCAAGAAGAGCTTCCTGATGCCTGGCCCAGAGGGACCTGGCTCCTGGTGGCGGTTACCGTTTTACCTGTCCTTGAAATTTGCCCCCACCTCGTTTTCTTCCACTCCATCCCTCCCCTCACCTTTAACTCCGACTAACTTAGTTCTTACAGTTGGTAGCATGCACGCATGTGTGTGTGTGATATTATCTCCATTTCTCAGGGGAAGAAATTGAGGCTCTGATGGGATTAAATGGCTTGCCCAGGATTTTATGACTACTGGTAGCAGCATCTGGCCTGCCCCCTAGTCTTTAAACAGCCCCCAGCAGCCCAGGGAATACAGCGTAGTTCCTTACCCACTGACCGTTCAGGGACAGAGTGCAGCTCCTTCCACTGAGAACCCAAGGTTATCTTGATGGGCCTGGGCTGGATGTTCATAAAAATTCTGCTCCACTCTGGGGGAAGCCATCATTTCGATCTTTGTTGGGGCTGCAGCCCGGTCCTTCACAGGCGTAGAACTATTGTGCCATTTGGCGATGGAAACACAGAGGCCCAGGAAGGACCCAGCCATGGGGGCTTCCTGGAGGCCTGGCTGAGCTGGGCCCAGAACGCAGAGCTCTTGGGCCTTCTGGATCCTGGCGCTGGCATAGGAGGCTGCTGGGACCGAAATAACCAGGACGGGGGAGGGTAAGTGGGCGGGCTAGGGGGAGGAGTGTGAGCACAGGCAGGTGGAGGGATGAGGAGAGCCTGATTACACTTTCTTTTCCAAGTAGCTTTATCACATAAAAATGGATGGTTCCAAAGGGAGGATCTTGAAATGGTTTGATTTGAGATAAGCCTGGGCTTGAGGCCTGTTCATATGTGCCAGGTTTGGGAGACAGGCAAGAAAGGAAGAGGGGCCTCTTGCTTTGATCTGATGGGAGGACAGAGCCAGTCAGTGCCTTGGGACCCAGATCCCTGTTCCAGCAGAAGGATGAGTCCCACCATCTTTTCCCTCCTCCCCATACCCACTAGGAAAAGGAGGCCAGGATTTCTAATCTCCAACTCTCCCATCTCCCTCCTTTGCCAACCTTTCATCTCTCCCCTTGCCAGCCCTTCTGTCTCCTCCCCCACACATACACCACACCCCTTCAGCTTCTCCCTTCCTTTCTCTTCTTTCCCTATTCTCAACCCAAACAGTTGAGGGCACACCCTCTCTCATCCGCTCCAGAGGACAGGTGGACGGGAGGGGGGAAGAAGGGACAAGTTGTTTCACAGATTGAGCTGTCCCCAGCTGTGGTACTTTCCCTGAGTCAGATCTACCACCAGAGCAGGGGATGGCTGTGATGTGGGCCCTGTGGGCTAGAAGTGGGAGGGGTCTTCTAACATGAAGGTGGCTACTGACCACAGGCCCTCAGTGGATGCCAAAGAGGTAGGAGACTGGCCAGATAGATTTTAGAAGTTGTCCTTTCTTTTGGCTTCGTGGGACTGTACAGATTGTGTCACCTCTCTGAGCCTCATTCTTCTCATCTGGGAAATGGAGATGACACCATCTGACCTGTGTCATGGCATTTGGATAAGTACACTGGCGCGGTGGGTGCCACCAGAAAGCCCAGTAGAAGGGAGAGGGGACTGTGTTTGTTGAGCACCTATGATGTGCTGCCCACTGTGCCGGCCTTATTTTCTCCAATCCTCACTACGTGTCTGTGAAGTAGGTATTCTCATATGCATCTTAAAGGCTCAGGAACTAAGATTCAGCAAGGTCAAGTTGCTTCAAAACCACACAGCTGGTATGATTTCAACCCAAGATTTGTACTGAAGGCTGCTGGCTCATGCTCTTTCCACTAACACACTGCCTCTTGGGGGCTGCTTCTTGATGAATGAGCCAGTTTGGAAGGGAAGGAGCTTCTTGTCCCTGGAGATGTATTAAAAAGACTGGGTGATGATCTGTTGAAGGTGTTATAGATGCTTGGTGGGAAGCTGGGGTGGAGATATGGGATGTGGTGTGACCTTTCAGGCCCTTTAGGAAAATTCTGTGATTTTCTAAAAGAAGCAGAACTATTATTAAATAGTTCAGAGGAGCTGAGGCAGCTTGAAACACTTCGAGAGAAAGCAAGTCCCCAGAATAGCCTTTTGTAGCTGCTGCATGGGGCCAGGAAAAGGCCACAGGTCTCTTCCGCATGCCTTGATTTAGTGCCAGAAAAAAGCCTGTGGAAAACAGCTTCCGCCAGCCCAATCTTGTCCCTGGGGCTGAGTTGCAAGGCAGGCCCTGAGCCTGATGGCTCTGATGTTCTCACGTCCCAGCTCGAGGGCCATCTTTGCCTGTCAGCATTCCTTGAGCCCAGAGGGCACCATGGGACCAGGATCTTTCATCCTGTACATGGCTGCCTGAGCTAACCTGTGCTGACAAGGGAGAAGTGGGTCAGAGGGATGGCACAGCCCAACGTGAGCCCTGTCCCGCTGCTGTCCCATGCCAGCGGAGGGGCTGTTCTCAATGCCAGCTGGAGCGAGCTTTCCATCCCCTGGGCAGCTGGACTTATTCATCTCCAACTTTGCACAGAGAAACCTGCTCTCAAAGCTCCTAGGGTTGAGGGCAAGAGGAGGCTGCTAATGAGCAGACCTGAATCAGGTCCACATCCTCCTGGCTGCCGAGTCCACCACTGCTTGGAATGGACACGTTTTAAAAGTCCAGCCCTTCAGGGGTCTGGAAATTGGAGCCTTGGGAGACCAGGGAAGAGGAAGGCTAGGGCCAGGGGACAGTGGGAAAAGGGCAGGATATGGTTGAGATTTGCAGAGGTCGAATAGGTTGGAAGGTGGGGTCTCTGGAGCAGATACCCTCACCTCGCTGGAGTAGGTGGTGGTGTGCTTGCCCCAGGGAGACAGGGGCTGAGGAAAGCTTTTGAGTTCTCTCCTGGGCCCACTGCTCTGGCCGCTGGGCAGGTCAAGGTGGCTGTCACTACCACAGCTGACTGAGTGGCAGCCCAGCCAGGACTCCAAGCCCTGGGAAGGAGAAGGAGAAAGCTTGATGGTCTTAGGAGTTAAACTTGAGCCCTTTTTGGCCCTAGTCTCCTCATCTGTGAATGACACCTGGCAGGGAGCACTGCAATAAGTGTGACCCAGAGTGCTGGCCACTTCACATATAATTTCCTTGAATCATGCAATCCTATGGAATCATTATTATTATACTCATTTTACAGATGAGCAAACTGCAACTCAGAGAGGTTAAGAAACTTGTGCAAGTCCACGGAGCTGGGAGATCCAAACCTAGCATGGACTGACTACCCCAACTCTGAAGAAGTGTGGCATCTCTTACTCAGTGGATATTTAAAACCAGTAACAGAGTGCTGGCTTAGAGGAGTTAAGGGGAGGTCCTGCTCGAGGTGGGGGGCTGGACTGATGACCTTGGGGGCCTCTCCCAGCCTTATGAAGCTCTGACTGACAAGACAGCTCTGGCTGAATGTTCTGGTGGCCACACGGTCTTCTTGTTAACATTAATGACTGAATTATTCTCTAAGTCGGCGCTCTGCACTGCCCTTGAGCCTGAGCTCGTGACTTATCCTTCTTGATGACTAGGCCCTATTCTCCATCATGCTGTGACTTTCCCGAGTCCTCCCCTGTGGAGCTCCCAGCTCCACAGGGATAAGGTGCTGCAGTCTAGACAGCTGCCCAGGCGCTGGCTCTCTGTCTCGGGTCCTCAGCTCACCCTCTCTACTCCTGAGAAAAACTCCTTCTGTTTCCAGCCTAGAAAGAGAAGGCAGAGGGAGACGGGCATCTCTCACCCTAAGGAAATATTAGCATCTGGGAGCTGCCTGGCAAATCTTCCTTCCCTTCTCTCTCACGTCCCCGGTTGTCCCCTCTCACCTCAGGAGCCATCAGCACTAAGGAAAAGTTAGGGCAACTAGTTTATCTTTCCTCTCCCTCACCGCAGCGCTGAGATTGCTACAAAACGTAGCTCCAATTTCATTAATCTCCCTCCCTTCCTAGCGGAAAGCGCCTGCCTGAATCGCAGTTCTGTACGCGGCCTGGGTGTAAAGTGATTCTGGTGTTTCCCCACCCCCTGCAGGAGCTGTGCTAGGTTCTGAAATGTTCGTCATCCTCATGCTCTACCTCTGGTTTGCCATCGGCCTGGCCTGCGCCGGCTTCTGCTGCCACCAGCTGCTGTTGATCCTCCGGGGGCAGACCCGCCACCAGGTGCGGAAGGGGGTGGCAGTGAGGGCCCGGCCCTGGCGCAAGAACTTGCAGGAGGTCTTCGGGAAGAGGTGGCTGCTGGGCCTGCTGGTCCCCATGTTCAATGTTGGAGGTGAGAACTCGAAGCAGCGGAACAAATAGCAAGCACTCCCATCATTTCTGTGTGTGTGTCCTGACTCCTCCTGAACATCAGACCACGGCACCCTTGTCTCCACCCATGACCCACTACAATCTCGTGCTGGTAAGGTCCTAGCATCCACCCCTGGTCTGTGACACATAGAGAACAGTGTTGGCTGGTGGATCATGACAAGGAGGAAAAATGACTGCCCTGGCATTGTAGGCTCCCCACGAGCCAGCCAGGTGGCTGCTGTTAGGAGACCTGTGCTTTTGTTTCTTCTGTTGGGGTCCCTGCCTTCCCCCTCTGCCTGCCTCGTCCACTCTTTCCCATATCTGTTGTCATCGTTGCTATCTGCTAATGTTCTTCCTCTGAGCCCCATCTTGGGAGTGGGGAGTGGATTCTTGCTGCTGGTATGATGCTCCCCGGGACCTGGAGGCTGGCAGAAAATGTTTAAAATTACCATACGTGAGAGGCAGCCAAGTCAGCTCCAGCAACTACTAGGGACATTGGGAAAGGAGGGGTACATGTCGTTGTCCCCTCTGGGCAATTGTGGGCAGTGGGAGGGAAAAAGAACTCAGTAGCTTGCTGTCCATTCCCCCAAGTTGCAAGGCCCTTTCTCTGGGAGACAGCAGTCAATGGCCTGGAATTTCTAACTGCTGTCCCCTGTCTGCCCTGCCCCAGCTGGCCACCCCAGCCCAGTCCAGGACCTGGCTGGATGCTTCCTTTCCTTCGCACTCTTCCAGCCTTTTCCCTTGGTCTCCAGCCTCCAGGTCTTTGCTAGATGCTGGGAAGGCAAGGAAGAAGGGAGAAGGAAAGGGGAGATTCTGATCAATGAGATTGGCATGTGACTGCATAACCATACAGAAGAGGACGTGCGGGGTGGGGGAGAAGATAATGAGGAGTGCAATCATGAAAATAGAGGAAGAATGCCTAGGGGAGGGGAGGAGAGAGTGTCACACAGGGGTTGGGCACTGGAATATTTGGGGAATGAGAATGAGAGAGGCAAATAGGTTCATTTTGCCCTGTATAAAGGACATTCTAGCAGCTAATGTTGTATTTAAATGGCTGCCTGGCGAGGTAGTGAGTGCCCCTAAAACTGGAGGTATTCCAGCAGCACGGACTAGGCAGTCGTCTGGCAGGCATGCTGTGGAAAGTATTTCTGCACAGGATCAGGAAAGGGAAGAACTCTTCCCACCCCAAGATTCTAGACTCTTCTTCACGATCGCCAAGTCCAGAGGCAAGATCTGCAGAGAGGTCTGTGAGTTATTTGATCTCATGGAGGGTGAGGCAGGCATGGGGGGGTCTGAAAACCATGATGCAAACTTTCAGGACCCTACCCAGCCACCAAAGTGAGGGTCTGTGGAGAGGCAGGACTCCCTGGGTGTTAATGCTAGTTGAGGGGGTTGGCATTTGAGGACAGGGAGATGGAGCAGTGTCAGGGCAGGTGGGGGCAGTGGTGGGGAGAGCAGAGCTGGAAGGTCATGCTCAGCTCTGATGGGCGAGATTGGAAGAGTTGAGGCCGGAATGGGGGAGACCAGAATACAGGAGTGCAATTGCCAGAGCAGCCCCGCTTATCTGACTGGCTCTGTTTAGGGGCACTGCTGTGTGTTCTGGGACCCAGAAGCCCAGATCTCTGAGGCATATGAGGGAGCGGGGCCAACACAAGTGCCCTCTCCTGACTGGGTCCCAGGGCCAGTCTGCCATCCATGCAGGCAGCAGAGCTGAAGCCCACACTCTACAGCGTCCAGCTGGTGGTCACAGCGACCCCAACCATTGCCACAAGACACCCTGAGTTCTTGAGGCCAGCCTGGGAGGACTTAACCTTGATCCTGCCTTCACGCCCCCTAGAGGGCTAATGTAGTTATGGCTCCACCGGCTCATACTTCTCCCTCACATGTTCATTCATTCATGCATCCTACATATATTTATTGAGCACCAACTATGTGCCAAGTCCCTTCCAGACACTGACATACAGTGAACAAGACAACAAGATCCCTGCCATCAGGGGCATCTTGTCACTGCCCCCATGCACGGACTCCCACTCCCTGAAAAATGGTCACTGCCATCTTGGTGGTCAGCAGAGCAGGTCACTCGAAGGGGAATGATGGGCCAGAGAGAGTTGAAGGGGAGCCCAGGCTGCCTGGATGAAGGAGTCGTTAGGGGACATCCTCACCCCCAGTTCTGGCCGTACTGAAGGAGTGGGAATGGAAGGGAGGAGGGGAGAGGCCCTGGGTGGTCCAGGCCTTGGCTCTCTCCTGACCCCAAAGCTCTAGCTTGGAAGCTGGCCCTGCCGTTCCCAGCTTCCTGGAGCCCCAGCACAGAGGAGGGAGCAAAAGGGAGACCTGCAGCAGTCGGCTCCTGGCCAACTGGTCAGTGGGGGTGCCAGTGGGGAGCTTGCCAGGTGGGGGCTTGAGTAGCATTTGTACACATGGCCTGTATTGTCGATGAAGAACGTCAATAAAAGATGTGGTTTTAAATTGGATTTGCTGTGATCGTATGGGCACTGTGGTTGGCAGCAGGGCTGGCAAGGCTGGAAAGCACTGACGCAGCATACTGGCTGTTAAAATATTTAAGGTAAGTATTACAAAGACTTCTGTTCCGGTAGGTACGTAACCATTGTCCAGACTCCCTGAGTAACCCACCCCTGCGGCCCCAGCTGCTCCTGCCCCTCCCCTGGGATCCCTGGCTCACTTCATTCCAGTAATTAAAACAGCAATGCCTGGCACCTGTGTGAGCCCCCCCGCCCCGGGACCCTGCTCCAGCCCTTCAGCCAGTGTCCATTGTGATTGGTCTGGGTTGTGCTGTGTGGTTGGTAAATGTGTGGGTATCACCCCCACTTGGTAGCAGGTCTGCAGTGCTGGAATCTGCGGACTCACAGGACCAGGGATGGAATGTCTAATCTGGGAACTTTCCTCCTCCTCCTCCACTCCTCCTCCCCTTCCCATGTCAGAGGACAGGTGGGGAGAGAATGAAGAGGCGCGTCCACCTGCTCCTTCATCACAGCCAGAGCTGACCACCCCTGAGGATCAGCCAGGGCCCCCTGCCCTCTCAGCTCCTACATCACATGGAGACCTTGGGCTGCCCAGCCCTGGGGGCAGCTGGGAGGGGTTGAGCCCTGCAGGGAGGGAGTGGTCCCTGCGCAGGTGAATGGGCATGACCTCTGATGCATCCTAAGGATGTGCAGGCCTGGACTGATGGAGGACACAACTGCAAAGTGCTGATTCTACCTGGGCTGTTGAAGAACCTCCAGCCTAGGCCAGTGTTGTATATGGTGTGCATCCTCTGAACATATGCCAACAGGCAATCAGCAAGGCAGACCCCAGATATGCTGGGGCAGGTGGGGAGGGGATGAATGGAGCCGTGGCTAATCCTCCGCACATTCTAGAGCATGGGCTGTCTACACTCACAGGGCAGACACACCTGCTGTGTCCACCATTGTATCCTTGATGCCTAGCAGGGGCTGGGCACAGAGTAGGTGCTTGATAAATACTGACCAAATGAATGCACAGATTGTGTGCTTCTTCCACTGATGTGCCACTGCGCTCTGCCCATTGTGGGGCTGGAAGATGGACGAGACAACTCTGTCCTCCAGGGGTTCATATCCTGGGAGAGGTTCCCAGGAATGCTTGGAGCGGGAAGAGAGCCCATCTGGGCCTGTACCTGGAACAGTGAGCATAGGGGACAGCATGGAGAAGCAGAGGGAGTTAAGGCTAAGAGTTGGGACCAGAGCAGAGGGGCCTTGAATGCCAAACTAAGAGATCTGGAGTGAATTTGACAGGTAATAGGGAACCATCAAAGGTTGTGAGCAAGGGAGCTACATGATTAGAGCTAGATTTCAGAAAGTGGAGTCTTGGTGGATAGACCGGAAGTGAGAGGGACCCAAGAAGAGGCATTTGCTATGATCTGAGTGTGACGTACCCAGAGTCTGGGCAGGAATAGTGGCTGTGGGCTGGTAAGGAGGGGAAGGTATCAGAGCTACTTCACAGACAGGGAACAGACTGCAGGGGGGCTGGGGAGAGGGCCCAAGATGATCCTGAGGGTTGAGACGGAGTGATCAGGGTAACCTCAAAGGAGAGGCCATCAGGAACACCGGGGTGGGGAGAAGATCATGATCCTGGGGTTCAGGGCCACCCAAAGCCGTCTCCTCTGTCATTGGCCCATCGGTTGGCAGTCTGTGGTATCACTCGTAACTAACCACTCTACAACCTTGGGTGGAGGAAGAGGTTCGGGGCAATCTGCACATCGTATGTTGCAGTACAACTCTCTGACTCCCAAAGCCGGGGGGAACCATCTGCCTGTGGCACTAGAGGTCATGGGTCCTCTGGCCTACACACCCAGTGTCAGAGGGAGTGGGACACTTGGCTCCCCAGTGCCTTGATATTCCCATCTGGAAAGTGGGCACTCTGCTTTGGCCCACGCCCTAGTGTTGGATTAGGCAAAATATGAACTGTTGCACTCTGGGGTTCAGGATCCAGGTGCTTTGGGAAAAGAATGAACTCAAGGGGACCTGAACCACATCCCCCTCTGCTATAACGAGGAGGCCAGTCCTTAGGTCCCGGGGGCCATCTTCTAGCCAGTCTCCTTCCCTGAGAACATGGTTGTCCCTGCCACTCCATGCGTTTGGCTCCTCTCTGTACCCTGTGGCCTCCAAATGGCCTCATTGCTCCCCCTCATCCCCTCCTGTCCTGCCTCTGGGCATGCTCTCAGGGATGCTTGGATGCAGCCCCTCCTGCTAGGGAGAAAAAGAAGGGATGGTCAGGGAGCAATCATGCATTGCTCCTGCTTGTCTGTAAAGAGATGCTTTAGAGATGAGGCAGACCTTGGGCCTGATCACCAGCCAGGGCAAGCCTGCTGGTGGGGCAGGAGGTGTCTGGGGTAGCTTAGCTATTCCTCTGCCTCTGCTTTCATTCCTCTCTCTGTGGGTGGCGCTGGCCCAGCTCCTCCATTCATTCCTCAAACATTCATTGATGCCCAATCGATGTCAGGCATGATGCCAAGAACCAGGAATGCAAAGATGAATGAGACTTATTACCTGACCTCGGGGAGCTCACAGAGAAGAGAACCAATTGCAGATGGTTGTAGTTCAGTGGCATGAGAACGCTGATGGAAGGGAGAAGGACAAGGTGCTACGGAAGCCCAGAGGAGAGCACTCAGCAGTAGGTAGGCTGGAAGACTTCCCAGAGGAGGTGACATCAGGGTCATGCAGGATGAATATGAGTTGGCCAGACAGAAAAGTAGGACTGTGGACTGGGGTAGGAGGGACCGTGCAGAGGCAGTGACGCAGGTGAATTCCGGGAATTGCAGTCTCCATTTAGAGTGACGGGGGCATGAGTATACATCCTGCAACCACAGTCAGGGAAGATTTTAGTCCTCAGGCCATGCTCCGCATGGACCCTGCCTCCTTCCTCTGATCGCTTCTTATAAAGCCTGACTCATCCTAGCACAAGAGTGTTCTGCTTGGGTCAGTCAATCACGAACTGACCTCTAGTTTTTCTCAATGGTCAGCAGGGTCATCCAGGTTGGAGACCAAAGGCAGAGGGTCAGCTTCATTCCCCAGGGATTCGGCCTGAAGCTGCTGGAGAGCTCAGCAGGGAAGGTAACCCCAGGCCCTCCAGGATCAGTTCAACTGACCCCATCTTATCAGCAGAGTCATTAAGAGTGGTTTTTCAGGGGCCGGCCCAGTGGCTTAGTGGTTAAGTGCGCGTGCTCCGCTGCTGGCGGCCCGGGTTCAGATCCTGGGCGTGCACCGACGCACCGCTTCTCCGGCCATGCTGAGGCCACGTCCCACATACAGCAACTAGAAGGATGTGCAGCTATGACATACAACTATCTACTGGAGCTTTGGGGGAAAAGATAAATAAATAAATAAATAAATAAAT